CCCCCACCGGCGGCCAAGCGGTGACAGCCCAGCTCATCGTCATGAGCGTGTGAGCTGCTGGTAAGGGGAGAAGCAGCGTGCACGGCTGCAGGAATCTCACTGAAAAAACCGAGCTGGAATGAACACAGAAAATGCTGAGGCAGTCACGCCAGAAGGGTCTCGAAGCAGTGACCTGTCAGAGGAAAGGTATCCATCGATATATATCTTCCGGGCAAAAACCTTTACTTCACTGCAGGACACAGCTTTTCTAGGATGTAGTTAACCAACCAGTATGCTTGTCATTGATTAATTGACTGTCTCAAAGAAAAACGCGACAAAGTAGCGTGAGGTGACACACAGCAGGCACTGTAGATGTTTTAGCGTACTCTCGCTGTTCTGCTCGCGACTAGTCTTTGTGCACAGCAAGGATAGTGTTGTGCTTCCGCAGAACGACGTCCACACAGAATTTATCAGGAAGAAGTCACGGTATGAGACACGCAGTTGGTTGGGTCTAGCGCGTCCACCCGAAGCAGATCTGGATGGTGAGGACCTGATTCTCAGGTGTAGGATCCATGCATCAGCGTGCTAAAGTTGTACTACCAAGTCGCCAGTTCTCATCTTCCAGCTCCCCAGCTACTCCTCGTACTAAAGTTGTACTACAAAGTCGCGAGTTCTCAGCTACTACCCACTCATCAGTTCTCATCTTCCCACTTCCCAGCTACTCTGCGTACTAAAGTTGTATTACCAAGTCGCCACTTCTCATCTTCCAGCTCCACAGCTACTCCGCGTACTAAAGTTGTACTACGCAGTCGCCAGTTCTCAGCTTCCAGCTCCACAGATTGCTCCGCGTACTAAAGTTGTACTACAAAGTCACCAGTTCTGAGCTTCCAGCTCCCCAGCTAATGTTGGATCACGATTAGTAAAGGGGACTTCTATAATGCTAAATTTTCTAAAATTATTCAGACCCCCCTGTTTGAAAAATGGTACCTCTATAATGCTAATTTTTTTTGGCCCCAAATTTTTAAATTGGAAACCCAATTAATGAGGGTTTGAATTCCTTCTGAACCCTGTCCACCTGCACTCCCCCCCCCTTCCTTCTGAACCCAATTAAACCCTTTATAAAACATTGCTCCTAAACAAATGTTCAAGGTAGTAGACCAGGAAGGCACCTGATCCTCAAAAATAAATTTGGTTTTGGGACCTCAATTGTGAAAAGTTTTTTCCACTGGAAAAAATGCACATGGATCTCCCTTTACTTAGCTCCTGAGGCCAATGATTATGATTCATTAGCTGATATAGCTTTCTTTAGGCTTCTTCAAAACTGACAGCTGACCAAAAACCACCAGTTCCCCAATTAAACCCCTTATAAAACATTGCTCCTAAACAAATTTTCAAGGTAGTAGACCAGGAAGGCACCTGATCCTCAATAATAAATTTGTTTTTGGGACCTCTATTGTGAAAAGTTTTTTCCACTGGAAAAAATGCACATGGAATCTCCCTTTACTTGGCTCCTGAGGCCAATGATTATGATTCATTAGCTGATATAGCTTTCTCTAGGCTTCTTCAAAACTGACAGCTGGCCAAAAACCACCCGTTCCCCAATTAAACCCCTTATAAAACATTGCTCCTAAACAAATTTTCCAGGTAGTAGACCAGGAAGGCACCTGATCCTCAATAATAAATTAGTTTTTGGGACCTCAATTGTGAAAGTTTTTTTCCACTGGAAAAAATGCACATGGAATCTCCCTTTACTTCGCTCCTGAGGCCAATGAAAGCTTGGGGCTTCTCTTGAGCTGAAGACCTGAGGCTGCAAAGCAAAAGGATTGCTGAGAACAATTACAAAGCACCTGAGAAAGGAAGCTGAATACAATCTATGAAAGGAAAATGAATACTACAATCAATTACAAAAGATCCCTCACCAGGAATCCAGATTTGTTTTGGTGATAGTTTATTATAGAGGTCTCCCTGTTTGTTTGAGGGGGGGGACCCCCCTTTACTAATCAGGATCCAACATTACTCCGCGTACTACAGTTGTACTACAAAGTCGCCAGTGCTCATCTCCCAGC